TCCTTCATGATGTCGTCTTGGTCCTCTTGGTGGAAGAGACGGGCCGCCAATGTTTGCTGGAAGTGAAGCATCCGACTGTGACTGTGACTGCCATCCACTGCTTGCATTCATGCAGTTCTGCTCGAAGCGAACTGGCATCAACAGCAAGTCAACACCAACTGGGAATAGCTCCAGCCCCCACGGCAGCCCCCCAACGGGACACTGTACGTGTACGCCGCACCCGGACTGTACGCTAGGCCAGTCCCAGGCCTGCCAGGGCAGAACCCGACAGCACAGTACACTAAAGGCAGGCACAGCGGCCCCGCTGCGTTGCCATGCCACGGCCGCAGTTGGGTCGCTTCACGACAAAGCAGCAGCATGTGTTGGTTCCTCCGTCATTGGAGTTTGTAGCACAGCAGCTGTGGAAGCAGGATGCAAGACACTGGTGGCCGGTGTGTGAACACGGTACGCGTACGGCAGGAAAAGAAAAAAAGAAGGAAAATAGGTAGGAGTGCAACCTTGGGTGCTCAGGATTGGTGAGAGGACCGACAACCTGATTGGAGATGATGCGTGATGAAGGAAATTGTTCGATGGCGAATCAACGGCCACAGATGGCAGGTCCAGTTCAGTCATCCAAGTGAAAAGGGTAGCGGAGCCGAGTCCTTCAATGGATGCGGGTTCCCGCGAGGTCCACATCCATCTCATCCCCGAGCACATCACTTCGCTGAAGGAAGCCCAGGCGGGCATGATGGGGCCAACAGCATCTGTGGGCGGCAACACAACGCTGCTGATTGGCTAGAAACACTTCTTCATCGTCAAACACTACCGACAACCCTGACCCTCGCTCACTGTCCTCCATCCACATTCAGTTCCTCCATCAATCAACCTCACTCGTCCTATACAGTGTACTTGTTGGAAGCAAACATCAACGGAAGCACGGTAGACGACGCTCGCCATACGCCAGTGGAAAGAGATTATTGCCCATTCCATCAGGAATGCTCGACGACAAGCGGAAAACGTCATGACGATCTCTCGGTTCTTGCACCCAAGTCCCACTTATTCTACGGCCCCGCTCCACCCTCAAGCTCTCTCGCTACACCAGCTTGTGTTTGTCCCCGACCTGTGTACGCAGCACAAAGCGAACCCAACAATGGCTCGGCTAAAACTCTGTAAACCATCACCGTTGCAGCCGAATTCTTCGTTTACATGAATCATGCTGTGGATAGATACTACCTGCCTGAAAGGAGCCGTCTAAAGGAACCGACGGCGAACTGACCATCTTCGAAGCTATCCATCACAGCTTGTAGCACGGTACTGCAACAACGACGGACAAGTGCGAGATTCGTCGCTTGAAGTTGTAAGGCCTGAACATTGTTTCAGCTCATCTGGACCTGGACCGCCTTCCCAACAACGTTGTCGTCAAATGCCAAGGCACTGATATCCGCGCTCAGCGGCCGTCCCTGGACTAACTCACTCATCACAATGCCTGTGCCCAAGCTCATGCTGATCCCCCACGGCCCATGGCCGGTTGCCAGGAACACTCCTCCCTCCGCGCCGGACTTCGTCCGAATTCCGCCTCCGAGGTGCTCATCCGGTACCCTCGCAACAATAGGCAGTCCCCACGGCGTCACCGGCCGGAAGCACAAGCCCTCTCTCACCACCTCTAGATCGTCCTCTCCATCATCCCCTGACCCCAGCAGTTCCCTAGCCGCCTGCTTGACCAACTCTATAGACCCGGTTTGCACCGTCGAACCCTCCGCTACGCTCGGCAGCGGCACCGCCGCCGAGTTCAAACCCGCAAAGTAGATCTGCCCGTCCACCCTTGAAAAAATCTCCGGGGAAAAAGCGGCATGGCTCGTGTAAACCGCATGGCATCCTTCCCCATCCACAGCACCTGCCCATCTCGGGCTCTTGACAACCAGCGAATGGCCCGCCAGGCTCGTCACCGGCAACCTCTTGACCGTCTCCGAAGTAGCCCCAAATAGCTTTTCCCACACCTGCCCGCTCCAGCACCCCGCCGTGATGATGATCCTCGAACACTTAACCTCCCTCTCCTCCCCCGTCATAACATCCTTCAATTGCACACCCCTAATCACCCCCTCACCATCTCTCAACACCTCCACCGCCTCCGTCCCCTTCGAAACCTTCACCCCCCTCCCCTCCGCCTCCCCCAACAAAAACCGACAAAGCCTCTCCGGCTCCAACTGCGCCGTGTCCCCCTCCCCGCCAATGATCTCCACATCATCGCCCTCCCGCCTCCTCAACCAAGCTGGCGTCTTCTCCTTCAGATCCTCTACACTCACCACCGGCACCTTTTCCTTGTCTCCAAGCGCCGCCTCCGCCCGGCTCGTCCCGCTGCGTAACCAATCGTCCCCTCGTTTCTTGACGCCCTTGTCGACGGCAACGGCCGAGTATCCCAGCGAGGTAGAAGGGGCATAAGACCAGTTGCGTCGACCGTCGTGGGCGGAGGCCAGACGGGCGTGCTCGGCGAAGGAGAGGGCGCCCAGCGAGGAGACTTCGGCAGCGAACCAGTTGCGGGCGAGAAAGCCACCGGCGAAGCCGGAGGCGGACCAGAAGAGGGAAGGGGAGGGGTCGACCAAATGGATTTCGGATGGGGGAGAAGGGGAGGAGGGCTGGGAAGAGGAAAGAGAGAGGTAGTAGGCGGTTGAAACGCCGATGATGCCGGCGCCGAGGATTACCGTGCCGGCACTGGTGCTGGTGGTGGTTGTAGTTGTGGACGACATTGTGACGTTCGGATAGTGAAATGTACAGGGCTCTTTCTGAGTGTGGGTGCTGATGGGTTATAGGTAGCTTTGCTGGTAGTAGAAGTGGGCAGATGGGGACAGCTTCTGAGGAATCCGCAGCGTCAAGGAATCATTCGGGCGTTCGGCCTCTTGATGGACTTGGGTAGATCTCAGTCAACCAATTCAAAAGAGTTAAGAGATATCTGGTCCGGTCAGCATCGCCTAGATATATGAACTTCCCTCTTCGTAGGCTATAAAGTCATACCCTTATCATGTCCTACAATTGGACATCAAAATGAGGGGGAGACCGCGCCCTTCGTGTCATTCTCGACCCCGGAGCCCCAGACTTGGCGAGACTAGTAGCTCCGGGGCTATCACCAGTATGCATGTTGATATCTTGATGTGAGCAATCTGTTTGAAAAACACGCAAAGATAGGGTGCAACGCTCTTCAATGGGGAAGTATGTGTTCCGTCGGGTTCCTGTCTTCTTCGAGGGAAAATGGACTGCCATTACATATAAGTTTGAAAGGCCCAAAGCAAACAGCTTCTTGAAATGAATAGAGGCTACAGAGACAAGTTGAAAAGCACTCCCGCATCGCAAACAGTCGCAGGCTCAAAATTGATTGGCAATGCTCCCATTGCAGGAAGACATGCGCAGGCAAGCACAATCATGGTGTGCAGTGTCGGTTCGTCTGAAAAAGAGGTCACCCAACTGCCCACAATGATTCACCCACTGCGCCAGTGAAAGCTATGCATCCGCGCTGTAAGAAGCAACAAAGCCAGATTAATTGTCAGGATCCCAAAAGATCCCCTCTGGTACATCGCCATCAGCGTTTCCGGCTCTGGAGGGAATGCCATAAATCATAATGAACATCCCTAAAAAGTCCCCGTTGTTGTGTTCCCGATACGTAATCCGGAATTCGGCCGGGTATCCATCTGCCCCGCAATCGGGTTGCCGGGGATTGTGGTGGGGTTCACAGGCTTCACCTTTTGTTGCAGTTGGTCCAAGAGCAAGGCGTCACCACATGAAATCTCTGACTTCACGAGCTCCCCGGGTTTCCAAGGAGAACAACGACAACAGCCGCAACTATTACCGGCAAAACAAACATCGAAGCGCATCTATAGCAAGCTATACACGACACAACACAATGTCAGAGCCCAAAGTCATCATTGTCACCGGCGGCAGCAAGGGCATTGGCCTTGCTGTCGTGCAGGACCTACTGAAAGCCTCCCACAAGGTTGTCCTTGTTGCCAGGACGCCTGTCAGCGAGCTCGCGAAGGATTATCCAGGCCAGGTCACATTTCTGGCTGCCGACATGACAGTATCTGATGTGAGTTGCGATCATCACAACCATATTGGAACATCGCAGAATGTAATATGATGGAAAATCAAATGAATATTAACATATCTAAGACCGCACACCGAGCTGTAGAGCTCGCTCTAATTTCTTACGGGAAGCTTGATGGCGTTGTTGTCAACCACGGAGTACTCACTCCCATCACCCGCCTAGCCGATGCTTCCATCGAAGACTGGAAGAGTCACTACGATGTAAACGTCTTCAGTGCCCTTTCCATTGTGAGCTTTACACCCCTAGACCAATGCGATCAAATAACAGGGCTAACACAATGGTCAGGTCAAAGAAGCCATCCCCCATCTGCGAGCCACCAAAGGCAAGATCATCTTCGTATCCTCGGGCGCCGCTATTAAGGCATATGCCGCTTGGGGGGCGTACGGCTCTTCCAAGGCCGCGTTAAACTCAATCTGCCGCCACGTCGCCGTGGAGGAGCCAGACATCACAGCAGTGGCAGTCAGCCCAGGACGGGTTGATACTGACATGCAAAAGGAGCTGCGCGAGAAGGGTCAAGGCGTCATGTCGGATAAGGAATACGCTGACTTTGTCTCGGCCTTCGAGGAAGGTCAGCTCAACAAGCCCGAGTGGCCTGCCCAGGTCATCGCGAAGCTGTCACTTGACGCCAAGTCTGATCTGTCAGGTAAATACGTCGCGTGGAACGGCCCAGAGGTTGCCGGGTATCGCAAGTAGCAATAAGGTATCTAAGGCAACTTTTGTCTAGTCAGCAACCATATCCAAAAAAAGAGTTATGAAGGCATGGAAAGACAGTGATGGGGCAATAATCAGTCGAAAGATGAAAAGGCTATACATGTATCTACATAGAGATTCAGGACTAGCATGGAATGTAAGTTGATTCATCAGATTGCCTTGGCTTTTTTTTTTCCAGTGCTCGTGCTTAAAAAAGAAAAATTGGTACCTACTGTGTCCAAGTCATCACTAAAGCGCAAGCGGCATTCCTACCTCGATGGACAAACTGCTGGAAGGTGGATCAAGTAGAGCCACATCATTGATAGGAAGCCGTTGCGCAAAAGCATGAGCGTTTGTACTCATCCGGGTCTGCACCAGGGCATTAGTCGTCGATGACACGTTGAAGTCGGCGCGTCGACGAGTTTTAGTTAAGTCGAGATGGTTCAGGAAAGTTGTGTCCGTCATGAAGTGTCGGAATTGGAATGAAAAGTACAAAGCATCATGGTGTCGGCTCGAAAGTAATCCATGTGGTACAAGACCGCAGGAAAACGGCATACCTGATTTTGGTAACCATTGCTGGACACTAGGAGCAACTGTTAGCAAATTTGCTGACGAGATTGAAACTCCAGAACACACAAAAACACAGTAGTTCGTTTTCGATCAGTAGTGACGTTTGGCTTGTCGGTGTCTATCACCATAATTGTGTATGATAGGGGCGACACGAATAATCTCCTCATAGAAACCCAAAACCACTGCGTTCTTGTGCTGGCGGGGCGAAGGGGAAGGTGTTCTTACCTATCATGAACATTGCTCGGTGTAACAATGAGCGGTCCAGTTAAGTGATCCAGCATGGAAACAGTGCAGTTGCCTGCGTGCCCCAATGGAAGCGTATGGTGTCGCGACTGAAAGAAAGTAGAAGGGTGAGGGAAGGAAACGCTGAAGAAAATCAGAAGTTAACGACGCGATGGATGGACCCCAAATTTTCTCGAACGGAACAACGATTTTGGCGGCAGAAATTTATGGTGGGGTCCCAGGTCACAAGGAAGGAAGGTACGGGTCCACCGAGCCTTCACTGTTGCGAGTGGGCCAGAGCCTGATGATGACAGTGGCACTTGGCATTCCTTCACCAGTTGCGACCAGGTGACCAAACCATTGACCTCACAAAGCTGAGAGGCGGGGGGGTGTGCGGTTCCAAACGCGCGCCAGACGACTCGGACGATTCAGTTTGATTCATTCACACAGACAAACCCGGACTGAGCGAGTTCAGTTCCTGATTGAGGAACTGTGGCTGGTGCGCCTCTATGTACGACTCCGCCACATACCCATGGTTGCCCCTGTGCGCGCAATGAACCAGGGCCAATCGCCCAGTTGCCGTTGGCGGCAGCTTCCAGGCCAGCCGCACTTGGGGTTTGGAGTGAAGGGAGCGGTGCCAATGTGTGTGTATAAAGGCAACCATCCTCACCGTGGCACCTCCGAGCTCAAAGGGAGCTTCGGCTCCCCTGACCATCATGCAACTCGACCTCATAAAGACTTCAAAACACTTTGATTACACCGGCCGCATATCTTGAGAGTTATCATTCGCCCAGGCAGTTGGGGGGTTTTGCATCATCGGCCACATACCTAGTCGATATCCGACCCCTCGAGGCATCAATATACACAATCCCACGACGACCCACGTAGGAGACTCTCGATTATCCACCAGCCAAAATGTCCGATCACGAATTTGGAGGTCCGTTGTCGCTCTGTATAACCTTTTTTTGTGTTTCTGTTTTCGTTTTTGTCGGGGGGTGGAGGAGTTCCTCGATGACTATTGCCCATTTGCTTGCACCCAGACACGGTTGAGTTGGCCCAATGATGAAGCCACTCAGCCTTACACTCAAGTTGAGTGGAGTGAGCCTCCCTCATGAGTCCAAACCAACAACACTTCCTTTCATCCACTCCTTCTTCACGACCTATTGTTGAAATTCGAGTGAATAAGAAAAGCATGTCACAATGGACTTCAAGAACAAGTATTTTCTATATGAACAACATGTTCTTATACGGCAGCTCTCTCAACCACTTCCTCAACCGAGAAGTGTGGCGATCATTCAGCCAAGATGGACGAATATTCCGGATACCGTTATGCATACGCTTCGGAGCCGTGGATCGTCTCTGGCTCTGGAGTCTCACCACCTCCGAGTAGCTTGCTTTTTTTTCCTTTCCTTTTCCTGGTTCATCATGTCTTTTTACTAACAAGGTTTACTGTAGGCAATGATGACCTCTCACTCCCCAAAGGTACGTTAATTTTCAGTCAGGATACCGGGATGCCGTATCATCGAGACATGTGGTGGTGGAGGATAACACCAAGCAGTTGGGAGAACCAAAGGCGAGTTTTCGGCTTGGTGAGCTGGTAGAGACGGTATCCTCTGGCTGAAGGAAGCCTATCCTCAAGCAAACGGAATATCGGATGGACCACCTTCACCACGCAGAAAGAAGTCTTTAGGTCTCGGGAGCTGCGCCAGTTGCTCAAGGCCGTGCAAGATTTCAAAGGGTACGAGCTAACTTTCCATACAGCGACGGTCCAAAAAATTGTGAGCGAGATTCTCCCATCATCGACTGGCCTGTCATTCGCCAAGGAAGCACGGGATCTTCTCATCGACCTCTGCGTTGAGTTCATCTCGCTCGTATCGTCCGAGGCGAATGAGATTTCCGAGAAGGAGTCGAAAAAGACGATTGCTTGTGATCACATCACGCAGGCGCTCGAGCGGCTCGGTTTTGCCGACTACGTCCCCGCCGTGCTAGAGGCAGCTGCGGAGCACAAAGAGGTTCAAAAGGTACTTGGAACCGTTATTATCTCCATGTTCGGTTGTGTCTTTGTTTTCATTGGTGAAGCTAACACACATCAACACAACAGGGACGAGAGAAGAAAGCAAACAAGTTCGAGCAGTCCGGCCTAACACTCGAAGAGCTCGAGCGAATCCAACGGGAACAGTTTGCCGACGCCGCGGCGCGACACACTTAGGGGGGCAAATTCGCGGCGTTGCCGACGCTTGTGCGTCTACCAGTGCCCGAGCAACAGCCGAAATAGCGGAAGGGGTCGCCTCGGAAGCAGCAGAAGCAGAAGAAGAAGAAGAAGGCGAAGCATCAAGCTGATGCACAGCAACAGCCGAAAAGGGGGAAGGGGCGGCCTCGGGAAGCAGCAGCAGCAGCAACCTCAAGCCGATACAGAGCAGCTCATCTCATAGCGGAACCAGAAAGGAGAGGCCCGGCTACAAACGGTTGAGAAGGCGAAGCCGGTTGGAATGAGAACCACCAAGATCTGAGCGAGAGGAAGGAGGACAACAAAGAAAAGGGGAACAGCGACTGGGCTAGCTACAGTTCTTGGCTAGTACGACCAGTGGAATTGCGTATCAACGAGCAAGAGGTGGTCACCATCAGTCGGAAAGAGCAACCCAAGGTCTCGGCGGAACTCCTTCCGGACAGATAGTAAAAGGTCCGGGTCTGCCTAACGAAGCTGAGGCGTGGGAGCAGCGATAGTTGAAATCTGGAAGCAAGTCAGTTGGTACTGAGCAATTGGAGGAAGAAGCGAAAGTTGGGAGAGAGAGAGCTTTGCATTTACGTGGTGTTAAGTTTGTGTTTGTTGAGGATCGGGGTTTGGAATTTAGTTGGTATGCGTTGTATTGGGTTGGAGGGCTCTTGGAGAAAGAGAAAACCCGATCAGGGGGTTGCGGATTATTCTTACTTGGATGTGCGCCTTACACATGGATAGGTGTGGTCAAACCTTGGGGTGTTCTCGGCGTCAAGTTGTCGGCATCACCTCCTTGTTTTCGTAGGAATATTCAGCGAGGGTTATGGTTCATTAGCTGCCAGCGGGACATGTGTGGTGATCATATTTTCTTGAGCATTATGAAGCTACCATATTTGGATTTGAAGAAGATGACTCTGCATCCTCATCCCAACTGGGTGTCAACCATGACCAGCTTACCGAGCCTTTCCGGCTCCCAAATACCACCATTAGGACAAATTGAGGTTGAGAAACAAGAATAGACTTTCAAGTTGTGTGGGTGCGCGTGCAGTATTTTACTCTTCATCTCATGGCTAACCAAAACGGCCCACGAGAACCGTTCATTGGAATCTAGGCGTATCTACAAGTGTTGTGGTGTGGCTTGTCTCGCTTTTTGGAGAAAAGCCATCCCATTCATGCCGCTTCCGCAGCAATCTTCTCCATCATGATGATAACAGAGATATAATAATTTAGTAGCCTTCCTTGCCCCACTTGTTGTACTTCTCGTGGAGAGACTGCGGTAGAAATCGCTGTTAGTCAACTTGTTCTTTCTTCGCCCCCTCTTCCACATCGTGTGGCCCATCTCTCGGTTTGAGGAACATGTGATATCAGGAGACGGGAAACCTGTTCGGGATCGTCGTGATTCGTACCTTGGGGAGGGTGACGTTGGGAACAACGACAACGTTGACGGCGCTGGGGGCATCCTTGGGGGCAGCAGAGGGATCACCGCCGGGGTGGTACTGGTACTTGCCAGCGCCCGAACCCGACTCCCAGGGCATGGAGTTCTTGGTCTGGGGAACGGCGGTCTCGGCGGTAGAGGCGGTAGGGTTGCGGGCTTTGGGCGTGGTGAACACAAGATGTTAGAGCTTTTGTTCGTATTTTCGCATCCTTCTCTAGATTGGGGACGAGATAAGAGACATACCGAAGTAGTAACCGGCACCAATGAAGGCGGCAACCATGACACCACCGAGGACCTATACTCAGAGCAACACGAACTTCCACGTTAGCTTCCAAGCTTGTTTGTTTTTCTTTATCCTCCCCTCTTGTTCTGCGTGATCATTGCATCATATCCCGCTCCTTCTGCAACACACTAAACCCGCCGCGCGCGCATTTTTGAAGCCTTTTCTCTCCATCCGTTCCCCCGGCCCGGCGCAAGGATCCAGCTCGCCCAAAGCTCCTGCGGAACCTCCCTTCCCGACTATTCGGTAGGTCGATGTGTTGAGGGAAAAGTGAGGCACGAGGTGCCCCTATTTGTTCAAATATCACGCACCAGAATCTCGGGGTTCTTCTTGGACTCGGTCTTGAGAGCCTCCTCACCAGTCGTCATGCGACGGACGGTGGTGGAGAAAGCACGGCGGGCAATGAAGGAGGCCATTGTGATGGTGTGAAAGGTCGGGCTGGATGGCAGTTTCGACGAACGGGTCAATGGGGAGGGTTTGTTGTCGAGGTCGGTGGTGGGGGTTCCGGCGAACGGGAGGTAGCTATGGCGTCAGGTGCGAAGTGTGTTTCGGGGAATTGAGAGCTTTCGGCTTTCGATGATGCAGCAACAGCACAAGCTTTGAGGTTTCTTGGTGCACGGACCCCTTGACGGCCTGGACGGGTGGATTTAACGGGTAGTGGTATGATTTCGAGGCTTTGAGGTAAAAGACTTGGCATGTCTTACGTAAGGTGCTGGTTGGTGAGCCAAGTGATGCCGTGGTGCTTTATTATCGGTCAAATGAGCGGAGGGTTAGGGCTGAGCGCGTATAGCTGGTAGTGTACATATCACAGTGTGCAGTGTCGCAAAAGCCGGAATGGCTGCGGTGCTGCCCGACGCCCGATCGGACGGCAACAGTGGGCCCGGTATCCCAAGTTCAGATGGGATTGAATGAACCAAACCTCAGCTACAGTCAGCCAGCTGAGCTCCGGCTGTTTGCCCACGTGTGACGGGAATCTGGAGTACATGATGCGTGCGTACTGCGGTATGCAGCCACCTTATTTGTGGTGATCCGAGTTTTGAATTATCGCATTCCGTCCTCCGTACCTCCAGGTTTAGGCATGTCTGTCGTCAGCTTCACGAACTACAAGTCTACGTAATGGCACCGCATGGAGTTGACGGTTCAGAGGCGTTCATCAGGAAAAGGAGCCCAGGCATAAAAATCGAATCTTGGAGGTTGATAGGGAGCGCTAGGTTGGCTCAGGGGCAGCTTGGCAGTTCAAGGGGACAGGGGCCACAGTGTTCCATTGCTTAGTAGGTATGCAGCCGTGGCACCGACACGCAAGGCGAAGCGGAAGTGTACCAGGCACATAGAGGACCTGGCAGAGGAATGCTTTTGTCACCAGTGGAAGAGGTGCCCGTGGAGTGGGGTCATCGCGATCACTAACCCGAAGGATGCCTCGGGGTGCCTTCTTACCTGGGGCTGATGAGCAAAAAAGAAATGACGGCGCTGCATGGATGACACGGCCCATTTCAATATGATCTCGAACAAAGTGCCCGGTGCAAAGGCCGGGCCTACCATACGCTTGACATTGACTGGGGGTTTCCCAAGGTACCATAGGAATTGCTTTGCTTATGTGGGAGCGAAAAAGGACACCCAAAGGTCACCCCCAAAAAAGGGACGGGAATGCTGAGTGAGAACGAACGGGGGATAATGCGAGGCTCTTGGCTAACCACTCCTTGCAACCCATCCCGTTGCACAACACTTTTCGACTTTCCGTTTAGACTCGACCCGAAAAAAAGGCACAAGGCAAACACCACTCTCTCTTCGCACTAATCCAAAAGGCTGAGATCTCGCTCAGCCGTCCACTCCTTAACACAGCTGGAAACCAACAAAGTTGGATTACGGATACGCTCATTATTTTCGTCCGACCGAGACCAGGGTGATTTCGCCGCCATAGGGAAAGACAACACTCCTTCACCAACGACCCGACGTACGCATTCGCACATACACACCGCAATCCCCTTGCTGCAAATAAGCACCGCCAACTGTAACAGCAAAACGGCAGCCGACCTGATCCCGACACATCAGCGACCAGCCAGCTACCCAGCCCCGACTTACGAGATACCGTATCCTACCGAAACCGTTCTATTGCGCCGCCATCCCGTCGATCCGAGCGTCATTGCGTCAAGCATACCACTCCTCCGTCTGATCTCAGTATCCCGACACCCAGTGTAGCGCGCCCGGACCTCGAAACTCCCAAGCGACGTCGTTCACGTATACTTGACGCTGTCGACACATTTGCGCCCGGTTTATAGTCCGCCGCAACTTGTCATATTCATCGCCGACCTCTTTTTCCACCGTTGGGAAACTTTACCATCATCGCTCTCGAATCATAGCCATGCTATAGCGTGGGATCTCCCGACATTAGCTAGACATCACACACACACGCCGTTGTTGCGCGGTCGAAGTGCGGGACTTGGAGGATTCCCTAGCCGACACAATGGCATCCGAAGAGGGACCCTCAAGGTCAGCCTCCCCGACAAATGTCGATAACACGTTCCCACAGTACCCTCCTCGAGCCGAGCTTACCGTTGCTGGCCCTCCCAGCCTAATATCTTCGCGAATGACGGATATTGGCACGGAAGATGGCCAAGGATCAGATGCAACACCACGCGGTGGTGGCCCTTCGAGCGCTAACCCCAACAGGAGGAGTGGCTTTTATTCGGACACACAGTCTCGTCCCGAGACGTCTGGGACCGGGCTATCATCAAGGGGTCCGTGGGCGCAATCGGTACCTCTACGCCAACAATTGTCGGGGAAGCGAGGAAGCATAGCTGGGAGCATCGGCAGTGCAGGAGGTCGCCCCATCAGCGCTGCGAGCAGGAGTCATGTCCCGTCTCTAACGTCCCATGGCTTCTTTCGTCCGATGAGCTCGCAGAAACTCCAGGCGCAAAGGGGCGCTGGGCGCCCGCCAACAATGAACCGCCCGTATGTGATCACCGGAGAAGCAGGGGCTCGCAATAGTGTCATCTCAACTGGAAGCGGCCGCATAGGGGCACAGATTGCGGAGGACGCAGAGCTGCGTATGCCCTCTAGGGGAACCGAAATGACGGAGCAGGATACAATGGACCGCATGACAGCCAACACGAGTCCCATCAACGGATTTTTTCCTACTTCGAGTGTTACGGATAGCGTCCGGCCGCTGCAGAGACCCGTCGATGCTCGGAACATCAACGTGGAAATGAACAAAGACTACAGAGAGGAAAGCCCGACAACTCCACCGAGGTCACCTACGAGGACGTCGCGATCTTTCAGGTCCAGCTTTTTGATGCCGAGGATGAACGAGTCCGGGGTAACGGGCTCCAATAGAGAGATTGAGGGCGGAGAGAAGCTGCAATCAGCTGCCTCGTCTCCCAACATCCCACCCCAAAGTTACGAGAGGCAAAGGGCCAGATTCAAAAGACGTGCAAAAAGGCAGAACCGCGCGAATCTTGGGAAAAACTACGAATACTTCGAAGGAAACACAGTGTTTTGCCTAGGTGGACGGTTTCAGAACACAAAGCAACGCCCGATAAATATAGCAACCGGGTCACTGATCGTTCTCCCTTGCATCCTCTTTTTCATCTTCTCGGCGCCTTGGATCTGGCACAACATTTCACCCGCGATACCCGTTACATTTGCTTATCTTGCTTATATCTGTGTATCTTCGTTCCTACACGCCTCGGCGTCAGATCCAGGAGTATGTTACGGCTTGTTACCCTTTGTGAGTGGTGTCACGCTGACATGTTCTAGATTCTACCGAGAAACTTGCACAAGTTTCCTCCTCCAGAAATGGAGGACAGCCCGACAGGCCCGCCAACGACCGACTGGGTTCTCGTTCACTCGGCAGAAGCTTCAACGGCAGCAATGGAGGTCCCGATCAAATACTGCAAGACATGCCAACTGTGGCGTCCTCCACGCGCTCATCACTGCCGCTTGTGCGATAACTGTGTTGAGACCCAAGACCATCACTGCGTATGGCTCAACAACTGTGTTGGTCGTCGCAATTACCGCTACTTTTTCACGTTCGTCAGCTCGGCAACCGTTCTTGCTCTGTACCTTATCGGCGCCTGCCTGGCACAAATTCTGGTGTACAAGAATCAACACCATATCAGCTTTGGTCACGCGGTCAATCACTTTCGCGTACCCTTTGCCATGGTCTTTTTTGGATTTCTGACATTTTTATACCCGGCTGCACTCACCGGATATCACATTTTTTTGATGGCTCGCGGCGAGACAACTCGCGAATACCTCAACTCTCACAAGTTTCCCAAGTCGGATCGATACCGTGCTTTTACTCAGGCCAACTGGCTCAAAAACTGGTTTGTCGTGCTATGCCGGCCAAGGCCCCCGACTTATTACGGATTCAAGGTCAAGTATAACCAGGGTGACCAGCGACTCGGATCCCATCGGCGCTGGCAACAGCCAGCGGTTTCTGACTCGAAAGAGGGCATGGAAATGCAAAACGTCTCGCCGCAGTTGCCTCAGACAGGATTCATGGGACCTACAGCATTGCGAAACTCGAATAATGGGTCGACGGCGGAGGTCAGGACATGATATTGATGGTTTTCTCCTCATCTTGACATTTTCGGCGTTTCTGTTTGACTTCGATACATATAGCACACCTGCACACCCATCTTTACATATACCATTAGTACGCATCAACGCACCATTATTTTTTCATGTTTTTTATGTTGGCCCCTTTTCTCCCCCTTGTTTGTCAGATACCTAACGGCATGCACGGCTTTACGTTGTTTTAGAACATGCGTGCACCAGTTTGAATGAAGGGTTTTTCTTTTTTTGGTTCTTTTTGTAATCAAACAATAACAGCGATCATAAATTTGTAAACAGCAGCAGGAGGAAGAAGAAGAAGAAGAAGAAGGAGTAAAGCCAGGATGAATCAGACGGGGGTACAGCGCCCTAGTGGTTCGTATCTCATTGGCAACACATAGGGACGGGAGCAACAACGAAGGAGTTGGACGGACAGGCCTCATTACTGTACGAACTTTAAGTTTTTTTTATACCCTGATGAGAGTAGCTAGTTCCCAAACTTCGTTTGTGGTTTTTAGTTAGAAACTTCTATAATACCATATGTAAACAGCCTCACGTGGCACTGGTCTCGTAACTATCACACGTTGCTACTAAACTTGGTATCAACGGCTTCGTTGAGTGGAGGCTATGTAGACAGATACATGTGCGTTTAGACCGCAGCGGGCGGCGTGGTAATGTTCAATCACTGGTTTCAAAACAATAAAATATACTGTGTACGACTCCTGGTTTCCTGTTATTGAGATATTGCAAATGATTCCGGCGAAAAGTCACAGTATCGCTGGGAAGCATAAAGTCAGGTCGTTGTAGGTAGATAGATACATGAGAAAGGGACCCACAATTCACAAAAGAATTGTTTGAGAGCTTCAGTTCAGACATCAATCAATGACACGAACCTCACCTTGTCAAAACCAGTCCACCACAGCTCAACAACCGCCTTTCACGAATTACCAGCTTACAAAATTCAGTTTTTTCTTCTTCTTCTTTTCTTTTCTTCTTTCTTCTTCCGCCCCCCCATATATCTCATCTAAACCACTAAGCGTTCTTTGACCCACGCTTTTTAACCCCGAACAACTTCCGTCACCCAACTCACCACTCGACGCACAAACAAGAACCGAACCATGCTCCCCCCACCAACCCCCTCCTTCCTCACCCGCAAATCCAAAATCCTTTCCCAGCTCTCCGTTCCCGACGTCGAGTACACCGACGCCTCCCCCAAAGGATCAGTCGACGTGGCCATTCGCGAACTGATTGACGAGATCAACCATGGTTACGAAGGATTGGTGACGACGAGCAGTTGCGCGGGGAGGGTGAGTGTTTATTTGGAGGGTGTGAAGAGGAAGAAGGACAACAAAGCTTCTAGTGCTGGTGGTGTTGAGGGTGAGGGTGAGGGAGAGGGAGAGGGAGATGGCGAAGGAGGTGGTGAAGATGGGGTAAGGGCATCAACAGCAGCTACAGCTGCTGCGGTAACAGCCAGTTCCTCTGGAGGTAAAGGTGGAGGGGAATGGCTGTTTGTTTCTCATGATCCGTTAGAGACAGTTGACGCTAAAACGGGGAGGGAGTATGATGGGGACCATTGGATGGAGGTGTTTGGCTTAACTGGGAATGGGTCTGATCAGCCTGGGTCTGGGGATGGTGATGGTGATGGGGATTCACAGCAAGAGCAGCAGCGGTTGATTCACTTCAAGTTTGAACCCATGGTACGTTCCTTTCTTCTCTTCTACTTGCAACCCCCGCACAATCCCATCACTAGAGCTTGAACTAACCCTCCTCCCCAACCGCCCTAGATCCTCCACATCCTAACCACCTCGCCCTATCACGCCCATCTAGCAATCCAATCCGGCATGACCTCGGGCTTCCGCGAAACAGGCGCCGTCTCCATCTTGCCCCGTCTAACTGCTCCCTTTTTCTCCTCCTGTCACCAGTGTCATACTCACCACAATCACCTCCCGCAACAACTATCATCGTCATCATCAGCATCATCATCACCATCATCTTCAACAACCCCAACACCAACAGAATCCGTCACTCCAAACCCCATAGTAGCCATCCGCTCCATGGGCCTCTCCTTCGAGTCCCTCATCGGCGTCCAACACGGCTCTCAACGACAGTCTTTGGTGTCTCCGGAATACCTGTCTCTGCTGGTCAAGATTGCCAACGAGCGGTTCGAGGAGAATAAGAAGAGGATAGCTAGGTTTCAGGAGGCATTGAGGTTGGCTTTTGGTGAGGGAGCTACTGCTGGTGGTGTTGAGGGACAGAAGAAGAAGAAAAAGAGCGGCGATGGTGAGAGTGGTAATGCGGAATGGGAGGATGCTGAGGCTAGGAAGCAGAGGAAGAGGGAGGAAGGGTTGGCGAGACGGGAAGAGGTTAGGAGAAGGAAGGAAAAGGAGGAGGAGGAGAAACGGAGAAAACAGGAGGAAATTAAGGAGGAGAATGCGGGAAAAGTAGATTTGGCGGAGGTGGTTTTGCAGGTGCCCGATGTTCTGTAGAGATAGTTGGTAGTTCCCTCTTGACCTAACAGTATCTGTTTTAGCGGACAGGTCTTCACGAGGCGCTGGGTTAACTTGTGGTGCTCTCTCCCACTACAGCCGTTGTCAAGGCGGTGGGAAAAAAAATGTTGGTCTATACTCTTGCTTGTCTTGTCTTAAGAGTTGTTTGCCGTTCTTTTGGATCGTTGTCTTGACCTGACTGAATTGACTGAAAGGAAAGCTTAGCCTTTATCTATTACCATTGCTCCAAGCTCCAAAGCCACGGGTCCTCAGCTTTTTGACCATTTTGAGACATCTATGATACACGCTCACATACACACACTTGACTGACTGCAATGTCGCAGTCAACCCTATCAACCAGTAACCCCATCCAGCGAGCTGCTAATTTCTGCTTATCCTTTCGATTGACTGCAGATGAACTCAACTAGCAGCTTCTCCCTCTCCTTTTGGTCCATGAGAAAACCCAGCTGGCCTTGTCATTCCCTTCCACTCATCCCTAGCCCTTTTCAACACTTCCTTGGGCTGCGCAAAACTGAGCGCACAAGGTTTCTTGCTTTCCCTTCCTTACACCCAGGCCCACCGCCAACATCCGTACCCAGTCCAGGTATATCCCCTCCTGTATATCCGTCTGTCGGTATGTGTGTGTGTGTGTGTGCCGGGTACCCTAGGTGCGTCCGGGGAAAAGCTTTCACTCCAGTCTCAGAGAGAACTTAAGCAACAACCTTATCAACCCATCCCTTCTCCAGCCTCCGCACCTCCTCCTTAAAAGCCTCAACCTCCTTCCAGCAGTCCAGCGGCCGGCGGTCGTGCTCACGCAGACACCGCACCACCTCGCTGCGCGCCGTCTCCGTGCTCTCGGGCAGCGGGCGCACCTTGCGGTGCTCGTCGAGCTTGGCACGCAAAGCCTCGATTTCCTTCTGGACCTTTTGTCTGCTAATGTCGTTCTCTTGTTGTTGTTGCTGCTGCTCGTCGGAGGAAGAGGATTTAAGAGTTTCTTGCAGCTTGGCGGCTTCGGCGGCCCGGAGTCGCTTCAGCTCTTCAGCGACGCGGGCTTGAACTTGGAGCTCGAGGGCCTGTTGGCGGGACATGTCGGTCTGTTATGTTTGGCTGTGTGTCAGTTGAAGCTTGATGCGTAATGATTGAAGGCTTTGAGCTGGCTGGCTGGATGGCTGGTATGAAACGGTTTATGAATCTGCTGTGTAGGCGAACGAGGAGGCAGAGGAGGGACGCGGTAGTGTGGGCGTGGGAAGAGTAACCGGTTCGCATCGTAGGCAGAGGTAGGAGGACAGTATAGCTCGACAGCTAAATGGCACGGACGGAGACGGCATCATACCTCGGGGCTAGACTCCAACTGCTCGACAAGAGTGTGCGATACACCAGCCGGGGCGGGCCTAGTTAGTTGGGTTTGACAAGTCAGCTTTCCCATACTCTCTAAATAGTCTCCAGAATCCATCAATTGCCCAGAAAGAAGAACGACATACGCCTTCCACACATGCGGCGCCGCAGCAGAGGGCTTCGAGGCGCTGGAACCCATTGTGAATTTGTCGCGGGGTTTTGGTAGGAGGATAGAGCGGGAATTGGTGCAGGGAGAGAGGCGAGGTAGGAGTTCGAGACCGGTAGCTTCTATCTACCCTGATGTCACCGGAGGAGGATAAGGGTAGGTAGGTAGGTAGGTTTTGCGATTTGTCTGGCTGCGCTGCCGGCTCGCGAATTCCGCTTCGCAATCGGCGACTGCTGTTGTCCCGCTAGCGCAAGCAGGTGCGCTGACTTGCTTGTGACTTGCTAGCTTAACCCTCTGGAAGCCTCTTATCGAACTGCCATAGTTAACCCTAGGAAGCTCCGAGTTTTAGGGAAACTCCGGGCATGGATGACGGAGTGTACGGTGCTGAAAAGCACCTTGGCAAACTGTGTATCTGGAGGCGTCTGCTGAGGCTTGATACTTACTTACTTATACCTGGTTCACAAAGTGTGAAGATGACCTGGACTTATAACATCGAATGATGCCGACGAGTCTGACTAGTTTTACCGGAAGTAAGCATCTTGCACTCTGAGAATTGGAAAAGATTTCAAAAAGTTCGTTAATCTATCGATTTCCAACCACTATAGCAAGGTTTCGGAATGGACTAGTCCAACAGCGCCAGCCATGCATGCGCTACTACAATCATGGCCATTTGACCTCAACAGAGCTATAGTGTAAAGCCATGGCCATGGCGCAAAACCTCTTCCCCCCGAAGTAGCAAAGTTGAACACCGAGATCCTACGTATTCGTTAGTTTATAGAAATCCAGACCATCCATAGTCCAACTCCTTATATATTCTCTTTTTTTTTCTTATTTTTCTTTTTCAAGGTACGCCTGATTCCCTACTCCAACCGTCAACCGGATGATGCCCCACCTAACCTAGACATATCGCCTATATCAACTCCTTGCTCTTTTAATTCCCAAAGTCCCTCTTTATGAACTCCGCCTCCGCCATGTCTTTCTGTGTGGGTTGCTCCTAATACCCATACATATTCGTTCCACCAACCCAGCTTTGCATAGCACCGGGTTGCCCCTGATCCGACATGTAATAGCCCAGCTCGTTCTCATACCCGTCATTGACGCCCAAGGTACCGGGTTGCGGGTAATACTGCTGCGGGGTTGCTTGTGGGTCATACGGAACTTGTCCTTGACCAGCCGTGGTCGTTGGAGGGACGCCACCAGCTTGTTGAGTGTCAAACGCTTCGATGAGTAGGCCCAGCCCATCTGTTGACTGCCGACCAGCTACACCAGCGGCGACAGGTTGCGGTTGCTGCCCCTGTTGCAAAGGGGATGTCGAATCTTGCAGCTGGGGAGCGGTTGGAGCAGGAGTCTGCTCCTGCGGTTGTGAGGATGTAGGCACACGCAGACTAGGGTCGATGAACATCGCGGGAGTTGGGACACTGGGTTGTGCCGGGCTAATGATCGCCTGTTCCGGACTACCCTGAGGTACAGACTCCTGCTTTTCGCTTAAAGCTTGCTGTACCTGTTGGGCCTGCATCTGAGCAGTAAAGGTTGAGTGTAGCTGCGATGGCTGTTGTGCCTGTACTTGTACCTGCTGTGCCTGTTGTGTCTGTGCTTGAGCCTGAGCTTGAGCCTGCGCCTGAGCCTGAGCCTGAGCCTGAGCCTGAGCCTGGGCTTGTGCTTGTGCTTGTGCTTGAACCAAAGCCATGTGAGCTTGAGCCTGGGCTTGCTGTTGCTGGACAGTCGGCATCTGAAGGACGTGAGGTATTTCATCTCTCTGGGGGAGCAGGAGGTTAAAATCAGCCTGCCGAGTCCGTGAACGAGGGGCCTTTTGGTGGAAATGATGATAACTTACGCTGTCCGCCATGGTACCCTCGTTACCAACTATCACGCCGCTTTGGGCTGTGTAGAACCGTTCCAGATGCTCATACCACCTAGTTGCCAAAGGCCATATGTTCCTGCTTTCTGCCAAGATGCTGAGAACACGAGCAACCATTGAAGGGCCTTCGCGAGTAATGGCTGGCTCAGGGCAGACTGATTATAATGTCGCGTTAGCTTACTGTCATTAGAAAGAACACTCTTCAGGGCAGATAGCTTACGATTTGGATATTTGCACAAGTAGCATGCGAGGAAGCCACAGCTGTAAACGCAGAACGCCTGAATGGGAGTTCAGTCAGCATTCATTGATTGAGTCAGATCCCATCAGTACTTACCGCCATCTGTGCCCCAGGACCTTCCTCGGGTGACCGCTCGTTATATTGAGTGTCGATTTGTTCGTACAGATCTCTCACGTTGCTGAACAGTTGACGAGACATTTCAGTCCAGAAAGCTGTGCGCTCTGGTTGGGACTTATCGTCGGACAAGATACTATAATGCGGTGTTGTCAGCTCGAGGTCTTTAGCGCTTGACCGGGGTTACTTACTCGGTCAAGTATGCCTTCCTAAGAACAATATTGCAGAGCCGCGTTATCATCGTCACACCGAGGTATGCCTACGGAGATATTAGCGCTGAGTAGGTATTTGCTTTCCATGTTTCCTCCTTGTAACTCACCAGGTCCTGGCCTTCCTGCTTGTAGCCCTTAAGGAGAAAGCTACTCCACCGATGGTCATTAGGCAAACCCCTCTCCCATTCCGCAAGGCGGTTGACCATAATTGCATACTCGCTTTCTGGCTCCCATGGATCCGTAACCTTATCGTTGCTAAGCACCCGGCGGGGGATCGCTCCCCAGAAGTAATGGGCCTGGATAAGCGTTGCAAACAGGGACCGACCCTCGTCGGTAACAAGACTAGGGTTCTCCAGGGCCGGGGGAGTGTCCTGGAGCGCTGCTCTCGACTTTGGAATTTGACCAGTGGCGAAGTCCTTCTCGTTGCAAGGCAGTAATGCTGTGATATCGCTGGCTGATAGAGATACGGGGCACCGCGGACCCGAATGGAGGTTGTCTTGACTATGGAGCATCCACTATCATTCAATTAGTCACAAACCATTTCGCAATCCCATCATTCCATCCAATGTAAGGATGAGCCACATACCAAGGTGCGGCGGGCGGACTCTGCCCTCATGATTAGTTCCTCTGAGGGGTTTTCCGGCAGCCTGTAGGTCTCCTCCCTATGCAGTCCCATCAATGTGGCCATACGCATAGCAATTGCCATGTTGATCGAGCTCTGTTGTTTCAAGCTGCTTCCCTGCTGGGCAATACTCAACAGGTAGAACGCCTGGCATCTCTCCAGGTCCGGATCTCTATACAGTTCGCGGCAAGCAACCTCGGAGGCGCGTTCCATAAAGACTTCAGCGGCCTGAACAGCACCGCCAAACCGATCCACCAATGTTGGCGTCAGTCGGGCCGAAATGCTCAAGATGCTTAGCAGGAAAAACACGCTGACAGATCGGTGGTTCGTCCGTAGCCGCTCGGGAAAGTGTTGCTTGTGGATGAAGCCCAACTGGAAGTAGTGAGCTGTGAACTTGTGGACGGCTTCGACTATTTCAGGCAGCGGCGGCAGAAGATCCCATTCATCGTAGCCCTTGATAGGTCTGGGCACCGCCGGCGCTGGTGAGCGTACGGGTGCATCGAGGATTTCGCGTCGGACCTTCGCGGGGTCTCGTTTGGTCGCCTTGTCGGCTCTGATTCGAGGGTGTCGGTATTCGCGATCTTGATCGGGCTGGCCACGGACGGGGAAAGTACTGGGGAAAAGGTTTGATTTTAGCAGATGAAGAGAGCAGAGACACCCTTGCGACAGGGCTTGCATGCATCATGGGAACTCTTACCAGTCAGCCGGACCAAGTCCAGCATCGCGGCAAGCCTGGCAGGGAGGTTGGGCCTTGTCATGGAGACATTTGCTTCTCATACGGCGGCATCTGTAAAGGGCGACACGTTAGTCCTTCGCTTTCACCTGGGTACTCGTGACGTTTGGATGATGCCAAGTCGATCCGGCAACTGTTCACATACCTTCGGCAAGCGATTGGAGCTCTTCGCTTGATGACAGGTGCTGGGAGGGCTAAGCCAGGAACTTGTCCAGGAGTTCCGACAGAGACTGGGCTATTGACCTGGCTTGGAGGTTGGCCGGGAAGAGGAAATTGGCCAGGAATCTGACCGGTGAGCTGTTGCCCGTTGATCTGATTGACCTGGGGTTGCAGTTGTTGCGGTTGGTGCTGTTGCTGTTGCTGCTGTTGCTGCTGTTGCTGTGGCTGACTATTGGTATTTGGCACGGGGCTTGACAAGTCGAGTTGCATCGGAGTCTGAGGGGAGTCCTGGTCCTGGTGCATCTCGACGTCTTGTTGTGGTTGAGGCGACGCGGCCGGCAGAGAAGCCATCGCCATGGGAGCTGGCGACGGCGATTGCTCGGCCTGCTTCATCTCCTGGTCCATCTTGCCGGCAACGACGCGGGCGGCGCTTTGGGACCCGTAGGAGGATGAGGAGGATGCCTAGGGCAAAATGAATAAGAAGAAGCGATAATGAGACGCCGGTACGGCACAACGGCGATGTTTTAGTTGCAGATGACAGACCAGAAAAGGTAGCTGTTGAAGCTGTAGATTTGCCGGAGCGGCTTCTTGTTGGTTGCGGGGCGGATGATTTGATTGCCGGCAGGGCAAGATATGGTCCAATCTCTACCGCCAATTGCCCTGGATATGTGCTGCACAGGGCAGGCCCAGATGGGTGAAAATCGAATGCCGCGCGCCTGGATTTGAACCCTCGGGGCAAAACTTTCAGTCGGCACCCACCCGCCCGTCGCCAGATAGCAGCCCCAGGACCCACACTCGGAAGACGAACGACAGTGGGAGTTCGGAATCCAAAACACACTCAGTTTTGACCGACAGCAAAGACTGTGGTGGAAGTCACTCGTTATCGTAAAGAGGCTTGAGAATCAGCCCTGCGAAAGAATGGATCAGGTGGGACCTTCAGTACCAGTTTGAAGATTGTCTGAACTGAACTGCAGGCATCAAGTAACACTTCCGCCATAGAAGAGCTACACGTGATTGGTCGCGTGCCGTATGGTTGATGTACAAAGTGTACAGGTAGCGGGCACTATCACTTCACAACACTCAACAGCCCTAGGGAGGAAGTTATAGTTCACATTGAGCGGAGCAACTGTCGGTTTTTTTTTTTTTTTCCTTCGCTGTTTCTACTAGACAAGAACACTTCTTCTGATATCATATCGTAAGTTAGCTTCATCAAACAAGAGCCTTGTTCTTGCCGTAGCCAACCCATATACGACTGTGAGGGTACATGTGAATGATCCCCCGAGAAGGCCCAATCCTCCCTCCTGTGCCTTGACATAGTTCCTTCTCCTGTTGGATGTTAAATGTTACATGTTATTGTAGGTAGTTCGGACAAGTGGTGTGAACAAAGGTAAGTAAAGTATAAGTGGGAGTGGGAGTATGCATAACAAGGGATTGTTTGTTTTGGGGAATGGTTTCTTTCTTCGTGTGTCTCTACATGATTGTGCGTTCTGCGTCGGATCGCCCTATGATGCACGTCCTTCTTCCTTTTGCCTTGGATATCAAAGGGAAACGTGTGCTACAGGGTGACGCGCAATACATGATAAATCTCTTCTCTCGTTTTCCTCCTTCTTCTCTATCGCTGACCCGAATAACGCCCAGGATTCGTGTTACCAAATAACAAACCAGTGCTAGCAGCCGCGCGCAAGGGGGACGAGGGATATAAAGGTGTGTTGGTGCTGTGTGAAGTGTCATTTAAACGAACATGATGTATAAATTAGTGCAAAACCATCGAGGGGCTTGTATCACATCATTTGTGCATCGTGTTACTGGAGGGATTGGGTGTAGTGTCGTGGAATCGTGTCGCGTTCGTCAAGGATTTGCTGCTAAGGGGCTTGGGGGTAGTGATGGGATAATGCATCTTCCAAAGCGACTACGGGAGTGAAGTGCTTGAAGTGACGCTAGTGGCCCTGAGGGCCGACGAGCTGAGAGAGCACCTTTGGGATTGTCCTCAGGGCTGAGTGAACCTCATGTCTGGATCATGCCCTGGGTGCCGCTGATCTGACGCTTGACCTGCTCGCGCGCCCACCGAGCAGTCTCAATGGTACGCTGCTGGAACTCGCGGTTCGACCGAGTCTCCTTGATCATGGCGGTGATCCAGTCCTGACGGAAGACTTCGGCCAGCTGGCCGTTGGGATATGCGTCCGCAAGATCACTAGATAATCGTTAGTGTTTCTATAATGTGTTGTCTCAACATCATGCCAACCTACCCGATGACACCCATAGCGGCCCGCATGAGGGCTTCGCTGCGGTTAGGATCCTGAGCAATAGTGTTAAGAAGCTCAAAGATCGACTGAACGTAGGGTTCGAGAACGTTGGCTGTACGACATTTGTCAGCCTCTGCAAAGCGCGATTAAGACCGAGGAAACTTACTCTTATCGCTGCCCTTCATGGCACCGATAATGCCACCCCAGGCATCCATAATACCCTCACGGAGAGAGATCACATAGTCGAACATCTCATAAGAGCCCTCGGCAGAAGCGGTAACGGTGGCAGCCTGCTGAAGGACAACAGCAACAACCGAGAGGTAAGCCTCAAAGTGACCGCCAATAGCGCCAGCAATATCGCCGAAGCACTGCAAGATTGCAGGCTTGAACTGGTTGGCAAGAGCGGTGCTCCTGAGATTGTTAAGGAGATAGTTCATGAACTGATCGCAGTATGGCTGGCTGCGTTCGCCCATGGAGCGAGTGATATCGCTGACCAGGCCGATAGCCATGGAGCAGAGACTCGGCTCTTCCTGGTTTGCCAGGGCATTGTAAAGGAAGGGAGCAAAAGCGTCCATGTACTTGGCAAAGTCCTCCTCCATGGCGTTCGCAAGACCGCTAATGGCTGCAAAGACACCTTCAGGAACGGCCGACTTTCCATTAATAGTGTTCAAGAGCTGAAGCAGAACCTGCATAATGCGGTCGCCTTGGGGAGTGATCTCCTTGTCCAAGCGCTGGATGATTGCCTGGAGCACGGTGCAGAGACTGGTCTGCATATCCTCGAGAGTGATCTTGTCTTCAACGCTGACAACTTGGGATTGCAGGGGCAGGGTTTCCTCCAAACGTTGAAGGATAACATCCGAGAGGGATGCAACAGCAGGGAGACTGTCGTTGGCAGCATTCTGCACAAACACGTTAAGAACCTCGTAGGCAGCGGTGCGAACTGTAGCGTCACCGTCAAGCTTCGCCGTTACGGCGAGCAAGTTGGTCACGCACTGGTTGAAGTGAGGAGTAATGGGGTTTTGCGCGGCACCGTATTCGCCGCCAAAACGTTCCGCGAGGTTCATCAAAGCCCAGCAGCAGGACGCGGCCATTCTGGGGCTGCTCATGAGGCCGTTGAACAGGGAGGTGATCAAGGGGTCAAGGTGAACAGCGGGATCGATCACTTCCGAGCAAGTCTCTGTAATTCTGCCAAGAGCGTATGCGGTCGAGTCACGAACATGTAAAGAGGGGTCCTCCATCATGCCGATCAAGGGCTGCATGCCAGACTTGACGATAGGCTCAAGCAACTTCTCCTCGGGGCCATCCATCATGGCACCGAAAGCAGAAACAGCGGCATCACGGAGGTGCCAGTCGTCAGCGCGAAGGTTGGCTTCAACGAACTGGATGACTGGCTGGATGATTGCCGCACCGACAGCTTGAGAGTAGAGTTGGAGACACTGGTACGCGGCACGCGAAATGTTGTACTCGTCATCAGCCGCATCCTCATCTTGCTTGGTGAGAAGCTGTAGGAGCACAGGGACTACTTCGAGTGTAGCAACGCGGGCGAAGTTGTAGAAGGGGCGCATCTGCTCCGAGCTCTCAACCTGCAGCTGTTGTTAGTGGGATTCTTGCTCAACCAATGTGGCAGTGAAACGTACCTGAGCATTGTCATCTTCGATAGCAATCTCCTCTTCGCAAACGGTACTCCAGAACTCAACTGCAAGCTTGGCCACATCCTCGTCATCGCTCTTCATGCCCAGGATGGTGAGTCCAAACAGAGCCTTTTCCATGTAGAAGCGCATGTTCTCGTAGTAAAGGGCCATGATGCGGTTGAGGCAGCCATAAGCACCCTGCTGTATCCGAGAGTCCTCGGCCTGTGTCGCCTCGCAAATAACCTGCATAATGTAGTTGCGCTCGCCCTCATGCTTGAAGTTGTTACCGACAAACTCGAGAGAGTCGCCGAGGGCGGTAATGGCGGCAAGTCGGACTTCGCGGTTGGGCTCCTCCTTGCGAGCACCTTGGACAACAGCTGTGAGGATGGCATTGGAATGTTGAACCAGGCTGTTTCGTAGATCGACATCTTGACTCTCGCAGATGAAGCCGATGGTGGTCAGAGAGGCCTGCTTCTGGTGCTCGCTTCCCTCGCTAACATTCTTGACCAGGGCGTGCATAAGGTCTGGCCACTCGTTTCGTGGTAACTCGATGGTAGCGATAGCCGCGATAACCTGCGCCGAGGCCTGGCTTGCCTGGGTACTGCTGGAGGCGAGGGTCTCGAGGGTGAGCTGTTTCACCCGTGTCTTTGTGTCTTGGTCTGTCTGCTGAAGCCATTTTGCTTGGAGCTCTGCTTGCCTAGCGAACTCGCGAGCACTGAAGGCGTTCTTGAGGGCGATACCGGCCGCCGCTCGAATGTGGCTCTGGGCGCCCTCATTTGCCAACTCTTGGACAAGTGTCACGAGGTATTGAGACTAAGAAACAGACAAGTTAGCGGTTATGATGACCTTGCTGTGGGGATGCGACACAGGAGCAACGAGGGGAGGATGCCATACGAAGTTTGTCTGAGCGGCTTGGCTGAGCTGCTGTTCAGCAGCATGTCGCAGGGTCGCGTCTAGAGACAAGGAGTTAGCATGTGCGTCACGGCTTGGACGAGCTGACGCGATTCATCATGGCGAGAGCGGCTGCCAAAAGGTAGGAGGGTCGGGGCATGGGTGAGGATGTCGAATATATACTGACCAGGACTCAGCGAGTTGGTGAGGACGGTGTTGATATCTGAAGAGCCCTCCATGGTTGCGGTTTGGATGCCTGGTTCGGAGGAAGAACGGGTCTCTCTCCAGCAAACGAAGCGGGTTGGCGGTGGTAGTGGGAGAAGAGGGAGGGGGGGGTTTCCGAAAGGGAGAGAAAGTCGGCCTGGGCTTGATGCAACTAAAGTTTTGCTGCGTGGAACAAGCGGGGGGCGGGAGTCCAAGGTTCACGGTCCACAGCAACCTTGAATCTTAATCGGGGCAAGACTCGATTTGCTTTCGGTGAGATCAGATCGAACCGCAGAGGCGAGGCGCAGATGCAGAGCCGTGGGTGGGATCTGGATGCCAGGTGATGGCGGTTGGTGGATGGATGGTATCGATGCGGTCCGTCTGAGACGATTGCGATGGGGATAGAGAGGGATGGATGGGGATGGCGATGCGAGGG